GTATTTAAAACTTTAATCTAATTTAAATACTTTCAAATTGCAAAAGACAGAAGTTTGTCTATTTGTTGAGAGAATATGAATTGTATTATAAAACACACATTTCCTATTTATCTTAACTATGCATAGAATATATAACAATATCGAAGAGAGGCCTGAAAATATCATAGTTTAACCATATTCTCTTCAACCAAATTCGTTAGTTAAGTGTAGAAAGCTTTTGGACGCCTGCTCCGTGAACACCCACTGCGGAGAGCTGTACTGCACCGCTTGTTACGCGGCCGTCTGCAATCCTTGTTGCCAGCCGGATCTGTGCCCCATTCCCTGCGGACCGGAGCCCTGCTGCAAGAGGCCGAAGAAGAGGCGCTGCTGCAAAAAATCTCGGTGCAGTCCTTGCAGATCCTGCAGTCCACCGAGCTGCTGTCGTGCCGTCCTCTGCGATCCTTGCTGCGATCCCTGCTGCAGACCGTTACCCTGCAAGCCCTGTTGCGATCCCTGCTGCGCCTGCTGCTGCAAATGCCCGCCGGTCTGCTGCAAGCCGCCGACGGAGAACTACTCGCTGAGGCCGACGCCAAAGTTACTTGGATCCTCTAAGAAGGACAATCCTTGCTTGGTAACTCACTCAATTTTACTCAATTCTCATATATTGAATTTTGTATGATAGAACGACGCTGAACCTCCGACCGCAATTTGGAGGTGCAACCATTGCGGCGGCTGCAAGGATTGCTGCTAGATGTGCGACACGAACAGCAGGCTTCCAGCGTGCTGTACGCAATTGACGGGATCCGCGTGTGCGGCGCCAACTCCAAGGGAGACGAACAACTATTACAGCAGAAACCACATCAAGGACAGCAACGACGACTGCAAGGGATCGTGCTACTGTCCAGAAGGTTGCTGCTGCCCGCACAAGGGCATGAACGGTCGCTACGCGTCTCCGACATCCTGCGACCCCTGCGCCATCATGGACTGCTGCTGCACCTCCAGCTGCGGTGGCGGCTGCTGCTGCCGTTCCTGCAAACCTTCATGTTGCTCGCCTTCCCCCAAATGTTGCACTCCTCCGAAATGCTGCTCGCCTCCGAGGTGCTGCTCGCCACCTTCGCCGAGCTGCTGTCCCGAACCCTGTTGCGATCCCTGCTGCGGCCCCTACACTCCACCCTGCCGAAAGTGATTAATTCAGATGATGTTTGTTATTATTGGTTACGTTAATTGTTTCTGGAATGATCAGACCCATCTGCTATCCTCCGGTGGACCCATGCGACGACACCTGTCCCAGCGAGAGGATCTGCTACTACCCCTGCCCACAGCCCTGCCAACCCAAGTACTGCACGTGCGGTTCTCCCAATCCTTGCGACTGCGATCTGAACGCGAAAAAGAGACAGGCCATCAGCGAGATGGCGCCTTGCTGCAGACGATGCGGACGAAAGGTTAAATAATATTCTTAGATTAATCACAATTATTTCAACTATACCATCTTACATAAAGTTGACTTTAAAAATCTGGTATTAACAAAAAATACTTTTATTAAGGTTTACGCAGCTGAGAAGATCATGGCTTCAGGAGGTGCCTTCCACAGTTCGTGTTTCTCCTGCTACTGCTGCCATAAACCTCTAGAGGTGACCAACATGTACGAAAATCAAGGGGAAATTTACTGCAAACGTAAATATTTTCATCAATTATCCATCAATAATTGCATAATTCTTTGTGCAAACTAAATCGATTGGGTTTTGTTTCAGAATGTTATGCAAAGTACTTTGGTGTGCAAGGTTACGGCTACGGAAGCACCCTGCTCTCATCCATTTAATCGAATCATAATCCTCCGCCTCCTTCGCACGCAAACGTTTCATCGGTTCTCTCTCTCTCTTATCGGATGATGATGATGATAATCGTTATTATAATGGAAAATTGCAGATTTTCACTTGTTGTTTTTTTTTTGCTGTTTCCTCTAATAATTTTTTTTTTGCAGTAGAAAAATGGTATGTGTGTGTGTTGGCTCCCCTTTCCTAAGGCCCGACGGGTCAGTTTTAGCACCCTTGTCAAAATATCAAAAGTGAAAAATCGCGGCCGTCAGTAGCAGCAGGCTCAGCGCCCTCATCCCCTTTTTCCCTTATTCCTCCTGCAGCACAAACACACCGGATACAATCGGCCGGAATTAAAATCAATCCGTGCACACACACACACATAAACGCTCCTGCAGGCAATCCTAAGAGGGAAGGATGTGAGCGTTAAAGAGAGAGAAAGATAAATAAAGAGAGGGATGAAGTTGATGGAGATCAGATGAAAAGAAGGCGACGAAAATTGGGAACGGTTCGTGGATGAAGAAGACCCGACTATCTCCGATAATCTTAATTTTCCCCACACACCGAATTGATATGATATGATATGATATCGGCGAATGGGGCGCGGCGTCGACGCGTGCGCCCCCCCTTCTTCATTTTTTTTTTCTCTCTCCGCTGCTTTTGTTTTCGCGGGGGGGCGCGCGCTCTCTCGATTTCCTGTTTGTGTTTCTTTCTTTTTTTTTTTTCTTCATCATCATCCCCCACCGTTCGTACTTCGCCTTCCGACCCCGTCGGCATTTTTGCTGCTTTGTGGACTGGGAGGATCGGAGTTGGAGTATTATAATATTCAATATAATATACATCAGTTGCAGGGGCCTAGGTCTAAGATTAATATCGCGAGATGGCGGTCTCGGGTTTTTGGGGGGGGTGGTTTTTGCGCGCCCCCAGTGCTTCCAATCCCTCCCCCCCAGAAAAAGCAACCTCTAATCCGGATATTCACTAACTCATGCAAGTAACACAGTTACAAGAATCTATGGTTGCTATAGTAACTGATAACAATTGCATCAATTTAAATGTTTTGGGATACTACACACCATTCACTCTATTAAAGAAAGTACTATAAACTTATATAATCATAAATTCGTTCAAATTTAATTTGTGTTTTCTGAACATTTCGTAAAGTTGTAAGACAATAGAAGATATTGATGATATGATACGATGATGAAAGTTATACAATAATTTCGGAGGGATGAGAGTTTACGATGGTTTTCGAGAGAGAAAGAGATTGAGGGTGGTTTTCGCGTGTGTGTGTGTGTATGTCAAATGGGTGAAGGGGATTTTTACGAGAGAAAGAGATGATTTGGTGACGGGGGGGGAGATGAAGGGCGGCGGCGGTGCGCGATATTAAATCGCCAACAGATGGTTCCGTTATCCGGTTTCTTTATGACATATTACTTTATTAGTGCAATAGAAGGGAACATTGAATTATTAATATAAGATTATGTGTCCAGGCGGCGCGCGTCAACCGTCCCCTCCACCCCCACAAACAGAAAACAAAAAGAAAAAGCATCACTTACGTAATCGTTTCAATTTGCAAACAGTTGACGTACACATATAGAACGTGTTCTTCTTATTCGCACATCATTTGTCTTTTAGATATCTTTTTTTTTTTTCTTGGAAAAGAATCAAAACAATCTGCGTATTAATGAATTAGTACACATTTTTTTTTAGTAAATCAAAATCATTAATTAAGATTTGATTTTGAACTGATTTAATTGGTAAATCAAAAATCATTGTTTAATAATAGTTATATTTACTTTTGAAATCTGTATGATTCTAATGAACTTTATTTATTTAATTAGCTTACGGTCTTTAGGAGACAGATGAGAATTTTTAATATCGCATTTGAAAATAAAAAAGGGGTGGCTGTGACGACAGCGAGTTTAGGATCAGACTTCAAGGGGGTGGTGTGTACCCTAATGCGCTATTAGTTTATTTAAAGGGAGCCCCTTGGACCGATAAATCCCAGCGCGCGCGAAGATGACACCCGTAGCGAATCAGTGTTTTGGTAACTGCTGCCGCAGCCGGAGTAGAGGGAAGAGAAGAGCACAACTCATTAAAATATTTTTAATATAAATATTTAAATCAGAGCATCCCCCCCCCCAAAAAATCAGACCAAACAAAAAATTTGCATCCCTTACGCAGAAGTAGCATCATCTGTTCTTCATTTCATTTGTTACTTGTTGTTGTTAACATATAAAAAACAAAAGTTACTAAATTAATTATATAATTTACTGCAACCTTTTAAGCATGTACATTTACCTTGTCATTTGCCGACTTCATTTATTGGTATTACCAACTATTAAACAAATTTTCTTTAAATATTTGACATTTTACCAACTTAAAAAAAAGAAGAAATTTATGATTTATCAAATAACTGCTGCTGCTGCTTTACCTTTTATTCATGTATATTTATGCGTGTGTTGTGTGTCAAAAGGGCCGAGACGTCGTCGGCATGGGTCGGACGTGTCTGTTGCAGGGACACCATTAATAGTAATTAGAGCCCGAAGGCGCCGGTCGCGCGCCTCTCTGTCTCCCTCGACGCTGCCGCCGCCGCCCCCGGGGTCACAAACACCAAGGGATGTGTCCTCCATTCATTCGTCCGGCCGAATTATTTATGACACTTTTCGGACATCGCCGATCGTTTTATACCCTCGCGTTAAACGGTTTTCGCCGACGCTTAAATCATTCCAACGGATGCTGCTTACTTAACAATAAAACGACCTTAATAAATATTGAAGAATTCGTCGATTCCATTTAGTATGAATTATCGGTTCGATCGGAACCCATATTTGGATGATTATCAATTGTCAATTATCAATTGTCAATTGACAGTTTAAGTGTCAAAAAAGTAATATTAAGTTGGTAGTTTTCTTAAAATTAATCATGTAGGCCTCAAATTTTTCTATTCTATAACTAGATTAAATGTAGTATTTATTTATGTAATTAAAGTTTGTAATATTATAATATTTCATAAAGAAATTTAATTTTGAAAATCAGCCAAAAATGAGCAAAATTTCAATTCAATTTTTTAAAAATAATTCAAAAAAACACCAAATAAACATAACCGTTTCTTTTAATATACTCAAACTAGATTAAATGTAGTATTTATTTATGCAATTAATGTGTATAATATTATAATATTTTATAAAGAAATTTAATTTTGAAAATAAGCCAAAAATTAGCAAGATTTGACTTAAAATTTTTCAAAATAAGTCAAAAAAAAACATAACCGTTTCTTTTAATATTCTAAAACTAGATTAAATGTAGTACTCATTTATGTAATTAAAGTTTGTAATATTATAATATTTAGTAAAGAAATTTAATTTTGAAAATCAGCCAAAAATTAACAAAATTTCAATTCTAATTTTTCAAAATAAGTCAAAAAAATACCAAATAAACATAACCGTCTCTTTTAATATTCTAAAACTAGATTAAATGTAGTATTTATTTATGTAATTAAGGTTTGTAATATTATAATATTTAGTAAAGAAAATTTGAATTTTGAAAATTGAGCAAAATTGAGCAAAATTACAATTCAAATTTTTCAAAATAAGTCAAAAAAATACCAAATAAACATAACCGTTTCTTTTAATATTCTAAAACTAGATTAAATGTAGTATTTATTTATGTAATTAAAGTTTGTAATATTATAATATTTAGTAAAGAAATTTAATTTTAAAAATCAGCCAAAAATGAGCAAAATTTCAATTCAAATTTTTCAAAATAATTCAAAAAAATACCAAATAAACATAACCGTTTCTTTTAATATTCTAAAACTAGATTAAATGTAGTATTTATTTATGTAATTAAAGTTTGTAATATTATAATATTTAGTAAAGAAATTTTATTTTGAAAATCAGCCAAAAATAAGCAAAATTTCAATTTAATTTTTTCAAAATAATTCAAAAAAACACCAAATAAACATAACCGTTTCATTCTATATTCTAAAACTAGAATAAATGTAGTATTCATTTATTTAAGAAAAGTTATGAATATTATAATATTTGATAAAGAAATTTTATTTTGAAAATGAGCCAAAAATTAGCAAGATTTGACTTAAATTTTTTCAAAAGAATTCCAAAAACACCAAATGAACATAATCGTTTCTTTCTATATTCTAAAACTACCTTAAATGTAATATTTATATATGTAATAGAAGTTTGATATATTATAATATTTAATAAGGAAATTTTATTTTGAAAATTAACCAAAAATTTGCAAAATTTCAATTCAAATTTTTTACAATAAGTCAAAAAAATACCTAATAAACATAATCGTTTCTTTCTATATTCTAAAAGTAGATAAAATGTAGTATTCATTTATGTAATAAAAGTTTCGAATATTATAATATTTAATAAAAAAAATATTTTGAAAATGAGCCAAAAATTAACAAAATTTCAATTCAATTTTTTCAAAATAATTGAAAAAAACACCAAATAAACATAACCGTTTCTTTTAATATTCCAAAACTAGATTAAATGTAGTATTCATTTATGTAATAAAAGTTTTGAATATTATAATATTTAATAAATAAATTTAATTTTGAAAATGACCCAAAAATTTGTAAAATTTCTATTCAAATTTTTCAAAATAATTCAAAAAAAGGAATTGAAATTCCTTAATAAAATATGTCTAATAAAAACTAATAGAATTAATTGAATATCAACACTAAACAGCATAAACAAATCACAATTCTTTTCCATAAATTTTCCCTCACATTTCCACATTTCATTTCTTATTCTATGCATTTGACAAGGTTAAAAATTGCTCGAAAGAAGGCATCTCCACTTAATCAAAACAACCCTCACCCTTATAGCAAAAAGAAAAGAAAACTCGTGACTTGTACGCGAGATTAATTCCTTCATCCACCCCAAAAATCCTATACATTATTATATTTTTTCTTACAGTTTCGTTCGTGTTGTTGACTTGTTTCCATGATCACATCACAATTTAAATCGTCCAG